ACATAGTATGTACATTGGTAATATATTGAAATTATATATATATATATATATATATATATATATATATATATATATATATGCATATACATACATATACAAATTAAAATTTTGGTATATTTTAGAAACTTTTACGAGTATTGGACCCTTAACTATTTTCAGATATTTAAATATATATATATATATATATATATATATATATTGTTCCTTTACACTTTCTCGGTGCTGAATAATTTTGAAAAATACTGGAACGCTTCGAAACACATTACACCTAATTATTGCATTTTGTGCGCTTCACAATTTACGAACATATTACAAAAGCATACATTTATATATGTATATATACATATATATTATAATAATAGATTTTTCATAAATCTTCTAACACGAGGCATACAACTTCTTCATCTTATTGCAACACTGTGCTGTTATAGAATAAAATTTTATAATATTGAAACCATCATATGCCTTGATGTGTAAAGTGAGCTTGTTGTTGTTCACGATGTGATTGCTTCCAAACATAATTAGTTTTATTTAAATTATGTTTAATTATTTCATTATATAATTTTAAGCATTTAGACTAAAAATTTTTTCGCTTATAGTAAACATAAGTCTTTAGAAATTAAACTAACGAAAATGGTACTAAATTAATTTAAGATTTTAATCAGTCTAACACAATTAAATATTTAACTATATATACCCATCTATATAAATATACATAAGTATATATACATATATATATATATATATATATTTATATATACACATTTTCAGAAATCTAGCAATGATAATAGTTGAAAAAATTAGATCAAATCTGTACTATTTTGGTCAAATCAGAACAAATTTGATCTAATGTGAAGCAAGTAGTACAAATATAAACAAATTTGAACAAATTTGATCAACCATGAACAATTTTCTGAACAATCAAATCTGAACCAATTTGATCAAATATGAACACATTTGATCAATTATGAACAATTTTGTTCAAATCTAAACAAATTTAATCAAATCTGAAGAAATATGATCAAATCTGATCAAATTCAAGCAAATACATTATATTTTAAAAATTGTGGCATTTTGTTTTGGACTCGCAACTATATTTGTTACAAATCAACATCCCTTTCTTATTTTTCTTTCTTTTACACATCATTTAGATTTCTGGGGCATATAAGTATAAAACACATAATATCAAATAATCTAAACATTAAATTTCACATTTATAAAATTAAAGGAATATTTAAATCTAAAAACAAAAATCAGTCCACGAATGCGACTTTTTTCAATTAATGAAAATATTTTTGACTTCAATTTTAACTAATAAAATTTTATTTTAGTCATGGCATAAAATCAAAATTTTAATCAACAAAGACTTAATAATTTTCAAAATCAAACTTTCAATTTTAATTTCAACAAATGGCACATCGCAATCTCTCATGATTTTCGTTTTTCTGTCGAATAAAATCTTATTTATATTTTATTTGACTTAATATTTCGACATTAAAATGGCAGTGTCGTTCGCTGGATTTTTTTTTCAAACATTGATTTAAGATTCATAAAAATATTTAGTTAGATCTATATATGTATATATATGTAACAGTCATTTTTGTAGTTCATAAATTATGAACATGTATGTTATATAATACATTGGCAGTGTTGAAATCGTTTTTAGATGTTCTATAATTCAATATATTTAGATATAAAAATGACCATTGTTATAGAAATCCTAATTTTTATAGGAAAAATAATTTAAATTTCAATTTCACATTTTTTTCTTGTTAGTGGTACTTTTTCATATTCAAATGCGATGAATTTAAAAGCAATATAAACTAGAATACAATAAAATAAACCTTGAATCATCATTGTTAAATATTCACACGATTTGTGGACAAAAATTACTTCCGTAACTTATTCAAGATTTTCAGAATAGTTCATCTCAACATCATAAGTTTTGAATTAAAAACTTTTTTTAAAAAATAATTTACAGATTAAATCTAAACAAATTGGATCAAATTTTAAAAAAGTAGATCCAATCTGATTAAATTGAAACAAACCGATAATGTCTGATTAAATTAAAACAAATATAATCAATTTCGATCAGACACAATCAATTTATTCAAATCGGTTGTTAAAAATTACGCTAAACTAATTTAAATTTATAGATTTCATCTGGATGTTGAGACATATTGAGAAATATCTAGAATTAATATAAATATATATCAATTGTATTCACAAAATCGTCTCGAGATCAAAATAGCTCGTGCATGATCTGCACACATTATTACACAAAATTCATATTATAAAAAAGGATTATTAATTGTACTACGATATTTATAAAATTAACTATATATACGACTATTTACATTATTATATATTCATATTATTCATACAATTACAAACGTACACATAATTACACATCGAATTCGTATGCGCACGTCAAAATCTTATCGAAAGCAAAAAATACTTTTTAAATGAGATATCAAATATTTCAGACTTATTTTTCTTACTCGCTTGCAACATCGATTTATCAAAATCAAATTTTACGAAATAAAGGGTTAGATATATATTAGTAATCATATATTTTTGAGGAACATTTAAACCATTATTTTAAAAAAATGTATCTGGCTTTTCTTGGATGCTTCTTATTTAATTATGTAAAACTTTCTCATAAAATTTTTAACAAAATGTTATTCATTATTCACAAATTTAATAATTTAATAAAAACCATTTAAGAAGAAAAAAAAAGGTGATGAGATAAAAAATTAAATATGAAAACCTTAATGATTTTAGTCATAAATTAAAAACAAAAGAATTTAGCTAGATTAGTTGATCTGTATTCATTTCGTTGATATTACTTTTTTGTCTGACTTTTCTTTTCATTTGAAAACATTTTCAAATTGTTTGAATAAATAAATAAGTTGAATCAAATATGAACCGATATGCCCAAAATAAATCAAGTCTGAACAAATTGCGTCTATTTCAAATAATCTGAACAAATCAGATCCAATCTGAATTAATTCGTTCAAATTTGAACCAATGAGATCAGATATAATCTAATTGAATCAAATTTAAACTAATTAGTTCAAATCTGAACCAATTAAATCGAATCTAAACAAATTGGACCAAGTTCAAAATTCATTAAATTTAATAATTAAAAGAGAAGTATTGACCAATTATAAATGGCTATTATTTAGATTATAAAATTTTTATAAGATTCATGTTATTTCCTGAACTGATTATTTATTGAGCTATTACTTGTATGCTATACTTTCAACCTAAAGACATAATATACATTATTAGATCAATAGCCCTAAAAATATGAAAATAGTCTAAATTTTTCCACAAAAATACACAAGTACTTACAATCTAAAATTTCTTTATTATTTTGTATTGAATTTTTCAAAATCTATTCAACTCATAAGCGAGAGCATTTTTCTTAATTGGCAGTGTATGCTTTAGTTTATTTATATCTAGATTTCGCTTGATTTAAATTTATATTTGCAAAAAATCAGTCTTTTTCAGAAACATAAAACAAAATTCACAATGAAATGGAAATGTTTTCGATGGGTGATTTAATATTTAATTATTATTTAACATTTAACGACGACCGTGCGTATATCTTGGTGTTGTAAGAGTTAGTAAAAATTGTCAAATAAGTTTATTCGAACAATTACTCATTTTTATAAAAATGTACATTAAGCATAGAAACAAGACATAGTTTAAGGTTACAGCAAAATATAATTGAAGGCTGCTTGTGAGAGTTTATCAGAATAAAGCATTTATCATATCTAATACACTCCGATGATATTTTTTATCCAACCCTTGATATCGTCACTAACTTGTATATGAACTATTTTCTCTTTGACTATGATATGCATAAATGTATGTATATATACATATATACATATATATATATATATATATATATATATATATATATATATATATATATATACAAATTTGGTTTGTGATTATTCACGATTTTATTTTTCTGAATTAATAGCCGCCTCCTTTTATTTAATCAAAATTTATTTAGATTATTTTATTTAATTTTACTTTCATGATTATTACTACAGTTTGGAGATATGGGATGTACCCTTGTTCCAAAAATACTAAAAACAAATAAAACATTTCTTATACTCTTTTTAAAATACTTAAAATTTGAAAAATTTCACATTTTAAGTAAACTGATTTTTTTCATTGTTTTTCATCATTTAGAGAAGTTTTTCGGATTTGTTTAAATTTTTCATAAGTTTATCACATTCATCTTTACACATGAATATAAATCAAAACTAAATACAGACAATTTAAAAAAAGAAAGTATTAATTATTATTAATTATTATTATTAAAATTTGTAGTTCCTGATGAAGGGTATTTCTCCTAACAAAGAGTAGAATTAATTTCAAACTTTCAAAGACAAAAATGCATTTCTTTTATTTTTAAATAATTAATTTAAAAAATTTATAAATGTATAAAAAATTTTTTTTTTTTCAACAGATCCTGAAAAAGGGTATTTCCCATATGTAACCAAAATGTAGAAATAATTACATCTGAAAATTTAAAAAAATCGGAGGCTTTTAAGTTCTCCAGAAGAATAAAAATAATATCAGTTATCTAGGTAAACTAAAAAAATAAATTTATGAATATACATATACAAGAGGATTTTAGACTTTTGTTTGAATAGCAACTTTAAGGCATTCTAAAAACATGATATTTTATTTAGTATTTAATTATCTAATATTTTATTATTATTTTGATATTCAAAGAATAATCACAGAGAAAAATAACATAATACATATATTTAAAAAAAAAATCAAGCTACTTTTAATATTATTATGTAACAGACATGTCTTTATTGGTACCCGCTAAGATTTTCAAACAACGGGGCAGTATCTCTCATTCTTTGTTTTTATTAATTTAAAAATGTTATATACATTTGCAATTGCTAGTTTTACTAACTAGCTGATCAGTAAGCAAAGTAAGCAATTCCGTTTTTACTGCTTTGTGTTCAATTTGCGATATCAAAAAAATTAAAAGCAAAAAGCTAATTTACCTGTTGATGGAATTTTGGTATTAACGCATATCATAGTCACAAATTGAAAAAAAGTATCAAATAGTATTAAAAACTTATATTTCTCATCATCAGATTGATAATGTGTAAAAATATTAATTTCACAAACGTTTTGTGCAGTCTGCCCTAATGTCACTAATTACAATTAAAAATATTTTATTCTGATACTCTTACAAACAGCCTCACCATTCGTTCACAATTCACTTCAGAGATCAAACCAGCTGGCGACCACGCTGCTGCTGTAACTGCTGCTTGTGCTGCTCAAAGAACTGCTCGTCGTGCTGCTTTCTCCATCGGATCTTTTGTGTTTTCTTGACTGTTTCCTAGGAACTTTCTCCTGCTTCTTCGTGAGTGCTTCAATTTGATTAGATATCTCACATTTGCTGTCCGTCGGTAGTTTTCTTATGTCTACTTCCTTTGTGGGGGTGTAGTCACTTTCTGAGATCCATTCATCGGGCAGACTAATGAGAATAAAATAGATAGTAATAGGGAAATAGACATGTTTATTTCTAATAATGGATATAAAATTAAATAAATAAAAATACAAAATGATAAAAATAACTAGAAAAAAAATACTAAATGTCTAACTACAACAATTGTTTCTGAACCTTGAATCGAGATCAATTCCGAGTGCCTTAAATTTTGAGTATTATTTTAACTGTGAAATTGTGTACTGAATTTAATTGTTATCATATTGAAATGTTTTCAAACTAGTTAGTATTGTTATTTTGCCTTGAGGCAAGTTACATGTGTGAATAATCGACTTAACAATTTTTATGATTGAACCAGTTTCCGTAGGATTTTAATGGTGTAGTATGTTCATTAAGACCAAGTACTCTATCGTTATACCAAGTAAATGATGCATTTTTAAAATTGAACTACTTGTCGTAAGGCCGTAATATTTCATTAAGTTCTATAAGACCATGATATATATCGCCAAAAAAAGTTTCATAAAAATCGGCTTAAATTTTTTTTCAACAGTTCATCGCAAGAAAACGGAAGATTTTCACCTAAAACTAACCAATATCATTCCCAACTAATATCTTTCGAACAGTTACCAAAATCGATTCGGTAGTATGAGCTTAAATGTGGCCAAAAAGTTTAACACTTTTTTTCAAATTATAAAGAAACGGCTCGGCGGATCGTCGCACAAAACTGATAAACGATAGTCGTCATTGAGATACATCAAATGGCTTTTAAATTTCTAAAATCGGTTCAGCCGTTTTCGAGAAAACGTCGATTTACAATAAAAAATCTGTTCACACACACACATATACATACTTTTATTTGGTCTCATTCGATTCAGAATGGTTTGAAACGTCGAGAAAACATAAAATTAGTTAATCAGATTTTTTGATGAAAACATAAACTTCTTCGGGAAGTTAATTATCTTCTATATATATAAAAATAAGTTGGGTTTTCCTTCCTGACGGAATAACTCCAGAAAGCACGAACCGATTTCGACAATTTTGCATTCGTTGGAAAGGTCTCGGGCTCCGCAAGGTTTATAGCTAAGAAAATTAGTGGTGCGTGGCATCTTAATACAAATTGCTGAAACTTCACGCACCGTAATTAAAAACTCGAATTATTAGAATTATGCTTGGTTAAGTCAACGAGCAATTCTTGCCGCCAAGAAATATGATGTACACGCATTGAACTTCACCATTCAATCAAAAATTGCTGGCGATTTGGTGACATACCAATGATTCTGATTGGTCTTCCGTTTGACTTCAAACGATTGCAATTTCCAGTTTGCCTTGCGTTCGCAATAGCTAGTCGCAAGGCCAATCGCTTAGTGTTTGCGGGATAAATTTCAAATAGATTATTTAGAAAATCATTGTTTTTCACATGGGCAGTTATACGTTGCCTGTTCACGAGTTAGAAAACCATCCGCTTTGTTTGTGTTAACGTCAGACCAAAAAACAAAAAATGTGGTTTACCAAAGAGCACTTCAATGAAACGGATAATTTGCGGATTCACTTTCATTTACTTAGAGAAGTTCAACTAAAAAACACTTCATTTTTGTAATAGAAATAAATTTATTACTGTTGTATAATAAAATCAATTTTTTCCTTTTCAAATATAAAACAAACAAAAAATTTCTTCATCTTTCTCACGAAACCATCTGGTGGCGAAACGGAGTTCGTCGGGTTTGCTAGTACTATATATGTCTAATATTATTTCAAATGATAACTGCTTCCTTTTTCTACTTACATGTCAGGAGGGTTCCACGAGACGAGCACCTGCGCATTTCCAGTGCTGTCTAATCTTCTGCCCAAAATATCACTTCTTAAGAGAACAGTGCCCTTGGCACCTCCTGCAAGCGCCTCCGTACAAAGAAGGCGATATTGCAGTCCCTCCATTGCGCCGCCGTCGAAGAAATCGAACATACGCGCTGAAAAAGGATATTAAATATTAGCATTGTAAAAGTGAAAAAGAGAAATTAAACTTTGAGCATTAGTTAAAACCTGCCAAACAGTATTTAATTTTTGACACTAAACTAGATAAATGTTAATTGAAAAGACATAAGCTGATCTTCATGTTAAACTAATCAGTAAAGTTCTCAAAACATTTTTATTAAACATTTATATGAAATTTGTCCCGATTTTTGCCAAAAATAAGTAACAAAATAATAAACAAGTATAAATTACAGAAAATGATGTCACAAAAGACATCCAGACTTATTAAAGATAATTTCAGTTTTATCAAAAGCAATAAATTCCAATGATTCAATAATTTAAATCCAAAAATTAATATATATTTCTTTCAAAATTAAATTACCACTCCATGGTTGTCTTCTATATCGTAGTTTCTTCCCATTCTTCCTTATAAGTTTCAGAGCTGCTGCCGAGCCTTGAAGATGTGGTTCTTGTGACTTTTTAGCATTAGCACCGTTACCTTCAGATTCATTGAAGTGATTGTTGACATGCCTCTGGAGAGCCAACTGTTGAAGAACAACAAAATAATGTTAAAATTAAATTTATGATGTGGTCTATGAAAAATGTTATAAACAATATAATCGTACTTGCTGTAAAAGGTAGGGAGAAAAAATTATGTTAATATCATAATTGATACATTAAATTGGTACAGAGTCAAGAACAAGAACAAATCTTTAACTTTAAAACATTTTCCATATGCAATGTAAAGTTGGCAAGTGCAGTATTCAATTTAAGATGTCTACATGAAAATTAAAGTGATCAAATTAATTTCATTTTTGTAATAAGATTTCTGCAATATGTAAACAAAATATCATAACAAAAATCTTACTTTGCATAATATTTTGAATAAAATATCTCATCTTTCAAATATCCCTGTTCAAAAATAGAATGTGTTTGTCTCAAATTTAAAAAATTTAATGGCAAAAGATTCAATGACATCCCATTACGTTTTTCATTTTCCTTTAAATATAATGCATAAGCCAAATGTAAAGATGTGTTGCATGCACCTAGATGCTATTCATCTATTCCCACACCACAACATACTCTACCATCAGCCATGAAGGCGTCCAGATCTCCTCCCGGGGTACTCACCTGAGAACTAAATCTTCTTCTACAACCTGCTACTATACATTGTAGAGTTTTTGTCGAACCAGCATGAACACTAGCCACATGGGCGTCCAGCCACCTACGAGAACTTGATTCTCGACCATAAACGCGGCAACCACGCCACTGACAACAATATCGAGGCCCCGACTGAGTGTTTACATGTGAAACCTGATGGAAAAAATAAATTAGTAAATTGAATATTAAAACATTATGAGTTGTTTTGTATTTTTTCTTACCTGTAGATGTTCAAGTAGCGCAGAACTTGTATCAAAATTACCATGACACTTTTCCCAAACACATCGACCTGCTCCAAAATTATCCCTAGATAGCCTAGAGCTATCAGATCTTCCATTACAAGGAAACTTGGCTGGAAATCTTATTACCCTTGGTTCTTGAGGTTCTGTGCTTTTCCTTTCCTCTTCGAAACTACTTGAAAAGCTATTTTCTGAATCCAATTTCTGCTGTATCCTTTCTAAAATCAAACTCTTTGGACTTTTGGGTTCCTGAATTTCTTTCAAGATTTCTTTAATTTCTGGTTCAGGTTTAATATCATCATTTTGTATAGAATTATCTATTGAATTTTCCAAAATAGTCAAATTGCTGTTATCAGTTTTGGCATTGAATGAATCATTTGGTTCCGTTTTGCTTATATCAATTTCTGGTAAACTGCTGTCGATAGCAGAATTTTCTAAAGGTTCTGTTTTGCATGTATTGAAAGTACTTGCAGTTTCCGTTATACTATTTACAGGATCACATAATGACTCGTCTATACTTTGGCATGACACCGCATTCTCTGATATTAAACTTTGATCTTTATTATCACATTCCATTTCGACAGATTTATCTAATGTAATTGAACTAACTACTGGATTTTCTAATGTTATACTTTCATTCGTTAATGTTAATTGACTAACAGCATTTTCTGTTGAGGTATTCTGAACGTAATCTTTATCTGGAGTGGTCACAATAGAACCAAAATTATTGGAACCAATCATTTCACTACTGGGTAAAGCTGGTATGTCATTACTAACCAAGGCAGGTGTACTTATCATTTCGTTGCTTGCTACTGTATTTTGCTGGAATTGTGCTGTGGCGAACTGTGTGAATTGTGGCGCTCCGTATCCTACGGGTTGCAGGAATGGTTTGGTCACGTAAACTGGTTGCAGGAAAGGGTTAGCGGCAACATAAACAGGCTGAGGACTCTGCTGGAATCTAATTCCTGAAGGCGTGCCGTTTAAAATCAATCCAGCTGGTAACTTAGCTAAATTTTGTTGCCCTGGTAGATTTGTTGTGTAAGTAGTCAACAAAACTGTTTGAGGAGCGACTGTGGTTGCTTGATGCTGAGATACCGCAATCATGTTCTGTTGTGCCGGAACAGTATTTGCTGCAGTAACTACTGGTTGCGCGGTAACAGCTTGAGTGATCTTATTAGGCTTCAAATCAGTTTTCGGAGCTATACATTTGGGCTTCTTTGCCACCCTTGGGGCAATGTTAACACATGGTCTACCTCTAGGTTTTCTAGGGGCGGCCGGTTGTCGGTTAAAGACATCGTTTGTCATTTTCGTTTGTTTAGAAGCAATATCCGCGTTCAAAGAGACTTCGATGGCGCCGATTTTGAATGAATTCTGCTGTTGCTGAGCCAAGGGTGTCGTTATACCGTTAATCAGATGTTGTTGGGATGCTTTGTTGGATATATTGTTATTGTGATTAGCCAGCTGATTATTGTTGTTCAAAATGGGAGGCGTGGCCAGGGTAAGGGTACGTACGTCATACGATCGCTTTTCCAAAAGTACCTGCGGAACGGAAAAAGAATTAATACAATTGAATAAAGGTCAAGGATTAAGTACTTTAATCTGTGGAAGGCTGCAATAAATAATTTAACCAATGCTCAAATATATATTATGACTACGACAAAAAGTCGCATTTATTCTGTATTCGGTTTGATAAATATTTTTAAATATGACTAAATGTTTAGGCGACAGAAATGCTTAGGATCAATAATAATGGAAGTGAAGTATTACTAAAAATTACATTCAACAACATATAGTATCAATAAAATCTTGTTTTTTTGGAAATCACAAAATGTAAGCTTAATAAATGTTAAATATTTTACATTAACTTAATAATATTACAGAGCAATGTTTATGATGAGACGAGTACATTTTTTCTAGCAATATCTTGGCAACAGTGTAGGTTATAAATTTATTAAAAAAGATTTCTAAAATAATTAATAGATGTCTGCAAGTTCTACATGATCACAAAATAAAAATTTGAGCTAAATTTCAATTTGTGAAAAGAGTGTTTAATGCGTGGTGTTGAAATTTTAAAGTTAAAAAGTATCCTCACTACTTTAGAAAGATCCTATGTTTATGAACACTAGACACATTGATGGATGTAATAAAATGCAAGATAAATTAAAAAAATATTTTGTTTATACCTGTTGGTTTGCATGCGTTTTAGCCGTTAGCATCGCCAAATAATCACTTTGTGTAGCCACCAATTTAGCAGAATTGGCCAAAACTTGCGAATTATCACTAGCCCTCCTCTGTGGCTTAACTTGCGCCTTAAAATAATTCGTTATCTCTCTATTATTGGAACAAGGACTTTGACACTTTGGTTGCTGATTACCAGCTACAGTTAACTTAGAATTTCCATTGTTTTGTTGGACTATTAGCTGTGTCGTATTTATCGTATTCTGTGTTATAACCAAATTCTTGTTATTCGAATTTGGAGTCATGACTAAATTCTTATTTCCAGAGATTTGTTGAATGCTGACGCAGTTCTTTTGCAGAGCGTTGATGACGACAGGATCTATAACACCATTGAAGGGTTTTTCTATTTGGTTAATGTTATTTTTACTGCTATTATTATTAATGGCAGCTGTTGCAGGCTGTGGTTTAGTGATATGATCTGTTTTAATGGTAGGTGTAGAATTATTGTTAATCTGTAGTTTATTTTTATTCGGACAGCATGAATGCTGGGCTGTGCGTGTGTTATGCTTTTGTTGCTCTGTCTTGCAGGCAGATCGGGGTTTCTTTGCAGGACACTGAAAAAAAAAAACTTATTTAAAATACCTCACAATCGTTTAACATTTAAATATAATTTTTTAACTTACCGGTGCGATAAGATTATTCTGTATTCCTTTGCTTTTGATCTGCTCCTTCACAGGTGACGGTCGTTTATTTCCAGAAGTCACTTGGCTAATTTTTCCGCTTCCATTTTGTTCCAAGATCTTATTACAAACTTTCACAGGATTATTCTGAACTTGATTCGCTGAGTTACATTTCTTCAAATTATTATTTGTTAAATTATTTAGCTGGTTTAAATTTGTCGTCAACGCATTTGCGTTGATCAAGATTGGACTTCCATTCCATGTGGTAACCGCCACTTGACCGCCTCCATTAGCAGCAGATAAATTATTTTGGATAGCTCCCAAAACTGCTTGGTTGTTTTTCAAAAGTGGGAATCCGGCGTTGTTTAACAGAATTGAAGGAGAATTATTGCAAATTCTAACTTGACTATTCATTATTCCGTTATTCGTAACGCATTGCAAAAATTTTATATTTTGTGGCGAGTTCATATTCGGCTGTTGTAGTAAAAGGCCATTGACAACTGCACCATTTGAGGCATCTGCGGTTGGGAAAACTTGGGCAGTGTTGGTGTTAGAAAAAGTAGAAAAATTAACTACGCCATTGTTTAACGTCGTGAAAGTATTGATGCAGTTGGAATTTTGCGATGAAACATTTTCTAAAGTAATATTATTGGCAGTATTCGCTGTTTCACATGCATTACTGTTTGCAGTTTGGTTTTCCTTCGTAAGTTCAGCCAAATTAACTTCGTTCGAGGAATTTGTAACTTTGTTAAGAGTCACTGAACTAACTTCAGCAGATAAACTATTCGTTTCTGCCAATTTTTCACTTGTATTGTCTTCAACTTTCCTACTTAAGGCATTTTGAGAAATTAGTGGACTGACAATGGCGACCTTACAGTCTGGCATTGGACTAGCATTTTCTTCCAACAATTCCTCTTTTTTACCGTTCGTATCAATATTCTCCAAATCATCTTGAACTTTCATCGTTACTTTATCAACAAACGAGGCACCTACTTCAGTATCCTTTTCGGCAACCTTACTTTTGGTTTCATAATCAGAATTTCGAAGATTCAAATCATCGCTTATTCTTACAGCGACCACACTGCAATTACTAATTGGCAGACCATTCTTACTAACATCAGACAAATTGACTCTGTGACTGGTCTCATCATTTTTTGCCAGTTTCTTGTCAGAATCAATTTCACTCTTGCTTTCTCCAACTTTATCTTTATCATCTACCACTATATTAAAGGAATTTTTGGCTTCTTCTTTCGTCTCATCGCTGGAAGTGTTTGATGATAGACCACTGGTGAGAATTCTTCCATGCAGGAGCTGGTCGACCCCGCTCCCCGTAGTGGTGGTCGAATTGTTGTCGTCGCAGATGATGAGTTCTCCGCTGCTGGCCGGGCTGCATGGCGGGGAAGTCAGAATGCCGTCTCCATTGTTAGATGAACCGCACGAAGATAGAGATTCGCCGCCGCTCAGGGCTGCGACGCCACTGAAAGAGAAATAAATATTAGGAATTGAAAATAATAAATAGTCTACGTAAATAAGTTTTTTGTTATCTACATAATTTCCTTTTTCATAACATGATATTTTGAATAATTGTATATAAGGCAAAAAGATGAAAACATTCGATTCGAATTGACAATGTTCATTGGTTTTTAAAAAAGCCATCTTTAGTTATTTCTACATTCCTTTATTTGTTTATGTCATTAACACAAATAAAAAATAACGCAGTCATATAATAATAGTAGCAAAAAAGTGCTAAAATAAACGTTTGGTGATGATTGTTGGATTTGGCAAAGTTAACATTATGGCGATTGTGACTTTTGGAGGTTGTATATTATGTGCACAGCAAATACATAGCTTTTTGACAGTTCGTGACTACGAACTCAGACAATTATAAACCCGTATCATAATATTTCTATTTTAACGGTAAATTGGCCCCTTAATCCCCATACGTTTCGGCTAATATCTTCATTCAGCAGAAAATAAAGTTTGATATCTTCAAAGTGTGTGTGTGTATATATGGGTTTGTGTTTATGTATTTTATGTGAATACGTTCATGTTCCAATCAACCAATAAGTAATCTCTCATGCAGCTCACATAAAACATACACACACTGAAAACATTACACATATAACAGTTACCATATGTGGGAAGTTTATACATATATAAAATACATAAATATACCGGCATGTGCATAGATAGAAGACACATATAAAATGCTTTAAAATCTTGGAGGTCATAATATAAAATAGAAAATGAAATTTTTTATTGTTTAATACGTTTTAACATATAATTTTAGGTCTGATAACAAAATATGCAAAATACTTAGGTGTTTTAAGAACATAATTTTTTAACACAAAAGTAGGAAAAGTTATAATGGATCAGCCCCGCAGGAAAATGACCAATGTGGTGACCATAGTCCATAACAGCTCCACAAAATAAAAAAAGTTGCCTATATTGGGTAAGCGACATATGTTTTTCAATGTAGTTTTTAACGCTGAACACAAATCTGAAGTCAAATTTAGGGTCAAACTATAAAAACGGAGAAAAATAATGATTAAAGAAATTATAAGATTTTAATCATCGATTTTAATCGGAATAATTACTGTAAAATAAGATTTATAAACATTAAATAGGTGCATCGAGAATACGATTTTCTTAATGCACTCTTATTTGTGACATGTTTTGTTACCATGGGAATCCTGTAACGCAGTGGTTTCCAACCTTTTTTGCACCGCGCCCCCCCCGCTCTAATAAAAAAATATGTTGCAAACCCCTTAATTTTTTGATCAATTTAATTGTATAAATTCACAGCTGATATTATCTGACTACAAATTAATTATGTAAACATATGCATAATTTTTTTTTAACTTCCCGTAGGGCAAGTTATAGTAATCGCAAAAAAATCGAAAATGAAAATTTTTATAGATATTTACGTTTCAAAACCTTCTGAACATTTTGGCATACCTTAGAAAAAATGGATGTATGTGTGTGTGCGTGTATGTATGTATGTTCGGATACAAATTTTCGTGGACGTTTCCGGGAACACGGATCAACCGATTTGAATAATTCAAAAACATTCGATTCGTATTGATAAGGAGACGTGCTGATTAGTTTTTGGCGAAGGCAGGTCTAGCCGTTCCGACGATACGGGGCAAAAAGTGCCGAAAACGGTAACTCAGTTTTTAAGAGAACGGAGCGTCAGATTTGAATAATTCAAAAAACATTTTATTTGTATTGACTAAATGAAGAACTGTTCAAATTTCGTTGGAAAGGCAGGTACAACGACTTTGGAGATATAGAGAAAAAAGTAAAAAAATGAGCCATTTGACGGTCAAAAATGAACATTAGACATATGCACATCAAATTATCAGATATTTTATAGAGATTTTAACAATAAGTATAAATGTTGTATACATTCCTATGGGTTCCGTACCAAGTTTACGCGTTAGACGGCGACGCGGAGCTTACGCGATTTGATATTTCGTCTTTACGCAGTTAAAGCAGTACGATTGCTTTGAAAAAAAGTTAAGAATTTCCAAAATATTTCGAAATTCTATTAAAAGTATCAAATCATTGATCAACTTTTATTGATTATTATTATTGATTATTTTTAATTACTCGAATTTTGAATTGCGGTATGGTAAGTTCCAGCAATTAGGCACGATGCCCTAATTGCCTTAAGACAGAATTCAACTTACAGCTAGTTTTCATTTCTTAATATCATTTCAAAAATATTGGATTATTTTCAAAAATATTATTCTAAAAACAGATGAAAGTGCGCCCCTTAGAACAGGTTGGAAATCGCTGCTATAATGTATCATAGCTACGTTATCCGAATATAGCCCATTAATTTATTTTCTAAATAAATATATAAAATTACAACAAAAAAACAGATCGATTTTCATCATTCGTATCGAACCCTGTGCTGCCACCACTAGATCCGTAACCGTATGCAATGTTGTAATGTTGTGATGGTGCAATGGTGCAAGAAAGAGTGAAAGCGATATTTCCGGCTCGGTCTGTCCGTGGTGCGACAGAGAGAAAAAATAACTAATAACTCGTGACGTCACACGGAGGAGGCCTACGTGTGTACATTGAACCGGCATATAGGATGTTTAGGACGGACGGACGCTCACGAACTATTACGAACGGAATTGTGACAAATTGGGAACAGCGGCGAGGAAATCGACTAGATTTGATGTGTAGAATGGATATCATAATGTCAAATGGCAAAATTAGGCAGTCAATTGATATTAGATTAATTCTTATGTAAGGTCTTTTCGTATTCTAACAAGAGATGAGGAAAGCACAATTTATTTATTCCATTCTGGTAACAAGGTTTCCGGTATTCAGGAGGCAGGAGCAGGAAATAGCAACAATACAAATCTCAATGGAGTCAATGTTACTGCATTATTTTAAGTATTCACTACATTCAATAAATCATAAATTTCTAATAATAAGTGAAAACTTCTAACTCTATAAAGGTTATTATATTTTTATAGAATCAACAGCGATCGGAACTAACTAGATACTTTATAAACTATTGCAATTACAAGCCAACGATTCCTTTCCATATCTTTTAAATAGTTTCAAAATGCCCCGGAAAACCATTTTTACCTAAAGTAGAAACAGATATCTCTACTGCTTAGCATCAGGTAGTCTAAGTCCAAAGTTTGAATTGCAAACTTGTGTAGAATAATAAATTTGCGCAAATATCATAACAAACTCGTTACGATTTCTTTGTGCATGCCCAAATTTACGCATGTAAATGGCAATGTAAAGTTTGCCCCCATTTAATACTGAGTACCCTGTCTTTGCAAAGCCAAAGCTCTTAGCCCTGAGCGATGACTAAGTTAGATTTTTTTTAAATTTAACTATTTACATTTATTAATTGTTGAGGTTTTATTACAATAATTACCATGGTTTCTGCCTAAGCGGCCAATTATCAAAAAAGTAGATTTAGAGTAAAACGTTCATACTATTACTATACATAAGATACCCATAATATGATGATATTTCTATTTTATTCGAGAATTAGGCTCTAATGAGCCAATAGGAACGCTATGTTATTGGCCAATCTTCATATAAATTGGTAGTAAAAAACTGTCAAATATCTTTATATTTGCTGTGCGATTCACACATAAAACCTAACTTCATGTATATGTTATCAACTAGCATCAAAAAGATGCACTTATGATAACATTATGCGTTTGACGTTTGTGTGTTTTACAGGTTAAGTTTTATGTGTGAAACGCCTGGTCCCACAGAATATACAATACTCGTACAATTCTTGATAGATTCTTACTACCAATTCAAAAAAGATCGACCAATAGCATAGCGCTGCCATAACATTTCTATTGGCCTGAGGCATTAGAGCCTAATTCCCGAATAAAATAGAAGTGTCATTGTATTTGTATCTTATATTATGTGTAGTAATAGTATGAACGTTTTACTCTAAATCTACTTTCAAAACCTAGCAAAAGGCACAAATATCCAAATTTGACTACACGCAAATGTAATCATAAGACTCAAGGCCCAAAACCTTGTTTTTGCAAAGCCAACGCTTTTAGTCCTAAGCCATGGCCAAGTCATATTCTTTAAATCTAAATTTATTAAATTTAAACAACTCCGAAGCTTTCATCTACACATAATGAAAATTGAAAATTTTTTAAAAAATTATATGAACACACATACGCTTATAATTGCTTTCTGACTAAATCTGTTGGAAATAGTTTGACCAATTAATTTGTCATACAACTATATTATATTGTTGTAAACAAATATTTTTATACATTGTTTCTTAATTTCATTATTAATTTTTATTATTAACTTCCCGTAGAGCATCGAAAAATGAAAATTTTTATGTATCTTTACGTTTTAGAGGTTTCTGAATATTTTGGCATACCTTAGAAGAAATGGATGTATGTGTGTGTGTGCGCGGATACAAATGTTCGTCGACGATTTCGGGAACACCGATCAACCGATTTGAATAATTCAAAAAAACATTCGATTCGTATTGATAAGTAAACGTGCTGATTAGTTTTTGGCAAAGGCAGATCTAGTCGTTCCGAAGATACGGGGCAAAAAGTGCCAAAAACGGTAACTCTGTTTTTAAGAGAACGGAGCGTCCGATTTTAATAATTCAAAAAACATTCAAATTGTATTGACAATATTATTGACTGATTAAATTTTTGGGTAGGCAGGTCCAGCGGTTATGGACTCTCAATAAAAATAAGTTAAAAAATGTCATTCGGCGGTCAAAAATGTTTATTAGACATATGTACATCAAATTATCAGATATTTTATAGAGATTTTAATAATGTTTACACATTTTGTGTGATTTTTGTTTTGGTTCCGTACCAAGATTTTTAATTACGTTACGGGAAGTTCCAGCAATTTGCCTTAAGACACGATGCCATGCCCCCACTAGTTCCAGTTGAAATCGATAGAAATAACAGCAATGGAGATTGGAGATAAAATCGA